GTCAAATGGCTCTCTATCAAAACCATCGTACCAGGTCTTATTGTCACCATGAGTACTCGGTCTGTTCGTGTAGATTCTGACCATCTGTTGGAAGAATGCGACTACGATATGACTCTTCGTAGCATAGATGTTGAGACAAGACCGAGGGTAACAATTAAACACTCTTTCGAAGGGTTTGAAAATACAAATTGGTTTTGTAAAGGCTTGCGTTATAAGTGTGTTTTCAAACTTACCGAAATCATGAACACCCAGTCGGTTCCAAGTTTATCCAAAGATATTGAACACTGAAGCGTATTTGACAGACTACCCCGTCGTTAATTTGCAATGTTGTCACGTCCACTGACCTGCTAACACCTGTTAGGGATAGAGCCATTTAATCTAATGGTCGGTAGAAGCACTGCACCAAAGTCGCTGCTAAACTGACGAAATCGATGCTAATGTGTCATAAAAACGTTACAATCCTAATACCAACACATAAGGCTCTGTTGAGACAAAGAGGACTAACCTCAGAAATACAGTCGCCAAAGAAAACCAGGTGTACAGAAATTCGTAATGAGCAGCGGTTGGTTTGAAAAAATTCTGTGCAAAGACGAATTCAAACCAATGACTTGGGAGGATGGCTCGCGTAACAAGCGACATTATCCATAGGTGTGCAGCTTCCTATAACACTGAAACTAGTCCATCACATCATCGGCGGTTAAAGCACTCGGTTGAATTCCTGAGAGACTAAAACAGTCAAAGACGATCACCCAATGCGCAGGATTTTGACATCCGAAGCGATACTATGATGTTCCCGGTTCAAGAGAATGAAGCTAGAGATGCAGCAGGCTCGAGGGCTTTGTGTGAAATGAAAGGGGGCTCATTAAAAGAATCGTCATGATAATATCGGTATTCCGGGAAGCACTCAAACCCAGTTCACAGACACCAACCTGTAGCACCAGGCAATAAAAACAGTACATAACCAGAGTCAGGTGAGCACGGGGAATCTCACATGAATTTCTAGACGTAGAGAAACCATGAGACATAGGCCGTGTTCCTTATAGCAGTCCCAACCTGGGGTGGTGGAACACATAGAGAGGGATATGCTGAACAGAATGTAGGCGAGATTAGGGAAAAAATGAGTTCAAACAAAAGGTGGAATCCAAGTACCAGTTTCCAGGGTTAGGGAGAATCTCCTAGTTTTTAGTGACCATGATCTACGACAACAAGTCACAGGTTGAGATAAGCAACGCGCCGATAACTGAACGCTGTTAGCAGATAGCGCGCCTACAATCCATCGTGAGCAAACGTTACGAATGAATTGACCGGCGCCGACTCAGAACAATTCTCTCAAGCGGTTGAAGCTATGTATCGAAGCTACTAGGGAATCCATTCCAGGACGCTTTTATTCGTGTCTTTCTAGTGAGGAGGAAAATCGAGAACCCCGATCCGATCTACTTATCCATCAATTTGTCAACGGTATGGAACAACCACGTTCCAAGCTCTGAAATGCGGCGAAATAAACGGCCTTGGCTATCGCAGCCAAACACGAGAACATAAAAGCGAACACCAATAGCAAATGACGAAATGTCAACGTTAATTGGTAAAGGCACAGCAAAATAATACCAACAATCGTGCCGTGATAGGGAATGATGGTTAGGAGCATTTAATAGACATTTATCATTGATTTCTATCGGCCCAGCATATCGCTCCGTATTGGGGTTGTAGGACGGTGATTGATAAGACTCATGAGCTGCTGCTGTGCTTTTCTTGGTTTTACGGCTTTTAAAGGGTTCAAGCTGTTGGTGGATGACAGCAAATTGTTCACAGCAGTGAAATGTTTGTCTTTTGGACAATGAGTTCAGTTTGTGACACTGCTATGAAACCCTTGATAATCATCCGTATCCAATGCTTGCGGTCTATGCCAGTTCGTATGTTGAAAGAGTTCAACATAATTGGCTCGTCAGTGTTATGGCTAAGGGTATCTTTTTAGTCCAACTGTCGCACTAGTGAGCGTAATGCCTCCGAGAAATATGGAGCACGAGCTCCGTGCCACATGACATGAACTGTTGAGACCCACTCCATCGCGCATTATTACCCCACCAAATATGTTTAATTGGTTGGATGTTAATCTCGGCGTTCTCGATATATCTAGTCTTTTCTTCTGATACTGGAGATGAAAGACCGCCGATGGACCCTTGTAAGGGTGTCCTATCTGGTTTAATTAGTAGGTCACTGAACTCAGTACGGTGAGCTGACCACTCAGGAAACGGTTCGCAGATTCTTCACTCAGGAATCTGAAAATGATCCAGCAGCAGCTCTGCCATATTTTTCGATCACTGGCATTTGCAAACGACTTTAGTCGTCGCAAGTCCTCAGCATCACTGTGTTTACATTATTCAAGCTAATTCTGACTGAAATGTTAAAAGCGATCGCATGTTCACTCCAAGCATTCGCTCATGCACCTCTGATGAGACGGACGCGATTAACTGTCTTGCTTTTCCCACCTGAACTGCATCAGGCCTTCTGGTGGTTTACTAAAGTGTTCTATCGATGCCAAGTGATCTTTAAGTGAATGCCCACTGATTTTTTTCATCTCAGAGTTGGAATTCCAGGCAGTTTATCTTATCTGTGAGTTCTGAAAGAAGAGCAGCATTTGGAGTAAGACAGATTTGTGGCTGTTTTGGGGGCATCAATTTCATTAGCTTTGTTCGAGTGATGTAAGTAACAATGTCTTTCGCCCATCGATTGAGGCTAGGTTTTGTTGTGGACATAGCAACTTGATGATAGGGTAAGTTGAGGGAACTACACGAAGTAGATGTTGAGAGAAAAAAGTACCCGGTTGGGATTATCACAAGTTGGCCCATGAGATAAATTCCACAGAAATAATAGGCAAATGTATGGCATGCGATGAAAATCAACCGGTTTTAATTTCGCACTGTTGGTTGGGCAAGAACTTATTTCGGTTCCAAGGTTAACAAGCAAGGCCCGATGGGTGCGTCACATTGCTCTAATCCATCAGACGAATACAATCCGCTGCGTCTTGTTTACATCTAGAGCAGAATAGATAAGTGGGCGGGTAAATGTTATTGATCAGGCCACAACGATAGACAGAGCAATAGTGACCACGGCAGAATGACACTACATACTAGCAGGTTTTAAACGAATGCGAGTATTGCTGAGTATAGTGCAGCTGGAAGGGCTCAGAATTATCAGCAGAACGAGTTCACAATCCTGTGAAATTCAAGGAGGATAAGTGGTGCGCATGGTTTACAGCACGGAAATCGCTAAGGGTGCGATTTGGCAGTAGATAGTAATCCACAAAGACGTGATCCGAAAGATGGACACAGATGCAAAGAGGTTGTAGGTGGAGTTTAATGAGCCTAAACGATTGAGCATGCACCAAAAGTCAGTTTTAATTCCAAAACCCGTGGGTGGATAGAAACAATGTAGCCGAACGACACACATGTAACTAGTGTGTGATTACGGAGCATATACCAATTCGACTGTAGTACACCTTTCTCACAGGTGACAGTTGCACGGATAAATCTACAGAAATGGACACCCGTTCACAGCACTGAGTTCGATGCATCATTATGGGGCAAATTGCATGAGGCCATGGGACTGCGCGATTGCGTTTCCAGTTGCTGGAGACTAGTGTCAGTGCTGCCGGCGGACGATCAGTTAGCGACAGTGACAGATTCACTAGGTACTCTTTGCTGCGGACAGGATATGTATTCGTATTCCAGGTTATATGCACGTTATCACCAAAACCACCAAACAAAAACGGAAGTTTCAGAAGCATGAAGACAAGGACACCAGCCATACGTGTATTAAATTGTGATTTTTGGGTAAGAGGCTTTGTCGATACGCAACAGAGAAGTGTCCTCACATGTGCCGGACGAATGTACACCCACACTATCAAATCGAAAGTACAGTAAAGCTTCCGTAAGTTGATTACGCAAGCGGATGAATTAAAGTGGTCGATTTACAGTGGTGGTGAACATATGGAAGTCCTTTACAAAAACGTGCCTGTCTTACTTTCCCGTTGTGAGCAGTAGAGGATAGACTATTTTTACGTACATCCTGTTTCGAACATAGTAAACGAGCTCTGACATTATAGTAAACAGTTAACTCATGCAGTATTAAAATAAATAGTGCAGTGCGATTTTCCTAAGGTTAATAAATTATGTGCAAAAGTCAATCATGGTTTCTTTCTCTTATCACAAATGTAGCTGGATGGGTTGGCTTAGAACTGGTCACTCGATCTCAAAAGAGAGGGCACATGTTCCAAAGGGTGCGCGTACGAGTGTCTGTGTATGTAGCCATAGAGGAAAGTGTTCACACAACAAGCAAGATCAATCCGTGAGCGCAGATTTATGGGACAAACTGTACAAGGGAAACGCCCACGAGCGTAAACTGAGGGGCGGGAAACAAATACACACGCATATACACTGACCAATAACATGCTGTATCTTCAAACGTCTGCGGAGCAGTAAAGTGCAGCGATTGTGGGCCGGGAGAACATCACACATTGCAAACCCCTGCTGTATACACATTAGTATTTGGACAAACGAGTCGTTCAGAGATCATAACACAGTAAACCTTCGCAGAGTCAAGTTACAGAGGTTACTTCAATAATGGTCAACATGCAGCCAACGTAGAGGGATATGACTCCTTAAGTATTACATGGCAAATGTTCACGCTACAAAAAGCGGTCAAGTTAGAAGTGATCATGATACATAAGTGATCAGTCTCGGTTTTACTGTAGTCGGTAAACCAGTATTAAACAGCCTTAGTGTAGCGACTTGCACAATATTGCGTAACTGATAATCGTAATAGAAAGCACTATCCCGACAGTGAACTCCTCAAGAAGCACAAAGTGCAGATAAAACGTATGTTTGTTCATAAAACCAAAACGTAGGAACATTTGATGAACCTTTGCACCCAGTTCAAGAAGGAGAGTGAATATCGCAGATAACAGACGAGAGTGATGGGGATAATGGTGCCACCTGGATGGTCTACCACAGGAACTCGGGATTTTCTTTTTGTGATTGATAGTCAACCAAATTGAAGACAGCTACTTCGGTTTCATTACCTAGCAGAGAGAAAAATAAAAAGCCGTGGAAGATGGGAAAAATTGAATATTAGAATGCATAGGGTGAGTTCAATAAGGATATGATAAAACAGTGGAGTAACGTTACAAGTGAGAGAATTGTAAAGAAGAAAATGCAGCGACACATGGGTGGTAGGGAATAGTGAGAACACATCGAACGATTGCTATGCGGTTTGTGACTTCGATTCCTATTTCACAGAAGGTGATGCAGTTGCACAAGTAGTGGAGTTACTGAACGAATTGTAGTCGATCCCGTCCAAGGGTCAGCGTAAAAAGTGAGTTCTGACAAAGTACATATCGATAAGACTGACTGCTAGTGCTAGCTTGTCCAGTGCTGTTTGACACGTTTGTGAACTGTCACCGACTGCAGCAATATCGTCTGCTTATCCAATTCGAGAAGCGGATCTCCTAGAAGTCACTACATACTTCTTAATTTGTGTCCAGCGAATGTAATTTCCATCTCCGACACGATGAAAACGCTAGGTTTGGCAGTCTGCCCAAAGTAACACGCAATTCCGCTGAAATCTTTGTGAAACTTGTTGAGTTCACTCCAATAAGGAACGCGTCAGCAAGAGTCCAGAAGTTTCATAGGCTGCATAGAAACCTATATAACCATGTTGGTTGTCGGATTTGCCACATGACGAACATGTAGCTATGTTCAGCCAACGCTTACACTTAGTTCGGATGAGTACGCACGTTGATGCACATTCAGAACATCGGTCTGCACTAGTCTGTGAATATCCGTGCGCTCACAGCGACGTCTCCGGAGTGCACCGAAACTAAAGTTCACGGTCATGAACCACACTTACGCTACAAATGTAGTGGTAACTTTGAACGCAGCCTCCCCAACGGTAACCGATAGCGATGTGATCTATATGTGTACATGGCTGGCCCGAAGCTGATGGGTGCAATGTAACCCTACAGTGCGCACTGGATTGGAAGTTAGTGTTAGCTAGAAATGCACGAGCATTTACACACAAATGTAGCAAATGCACATGGCATCTTAACGGTAAGCTACGTCCCGCTTGCCACTCAGATGAACCGTATCGTGTACAAATTTGCAATTGTAACTTCCAAATCAACAGACAACACTACAATATAGATACTTGTTCTACGACGAGGTAGTTCGTTCAGTTAAGGATAAAAGTCATCTTTCACGGAGTGAGTACTACAGTATGTGGCGACAGTAATGACAAACAGGTACGTATAGGTTCCGTGTGACTTCGAAACTTCGAACGACCAAGTCAGTCCGACAACGCAAATGCGGTTACTGATTGGGATCCAGTTGATCAAAACTGTTTCGGTTCAGAGGTTGAAAGGCAACACTTACGCGGTCTTGGCCGGCATTCGAAGCTGTACTATCTCTGGACAGACTTATTGGGGAAATGCTACCAATGTCACCTGAAGAGCGTTGTAGGGTGAACGGAGAGCTCGAGTCTTGCAGCCTGATTTCCGATAAACAGCAGTTGTCCATCTATAGGTTAACTAATTTTTTGGCAACTGTCCCATATTGGCTCATCTGCGACAAAGTAAGCACACTAAGGCATGTTAGCGTCAGCGAGGAACGAGCGTTCCCAACAAAAGCGGATGAACTGACGTTAGACGTTTGGTTGAATACTGACTTGTCAAATGGATCGGAGCAACGCACTGCAACTGCATGTGAGTGGAAACTAGAAGATAAACGCCTATCAAAGCAAGATGGGTAAAGACTAAAATTTGGGGGGCTTGAAAGGAGGTTAAGTATAAGGTTGTAAAGAAGATAAAGATGAAAGTGTAGGAGGGAAAATAAGAAGACGGGGAGACTTGAGCAGCAGAGTATTTATCACTATCCACCTTGCTCCCTGCAGCAGATAGACCGCCGTTGATTATCCTCTGCGACGGCCAACCTAAGGAATTTGCTTATGGAGTTAGTTGTTTTACAAGGAATGGATATTGTCAGCATATCGAGCCAACCAAAGCCTTTGATGTAATAACCTGACCTAAAGGCAGTTGGGGTGGGTAGTGGGCTGTAGGGGGGGTGGGGGTGGAGGGGCGACTCCACTCCAGCCCCCAACACGAAGGATCAGAAGATTCAGGTTAGCTGACCTTTGAGCAATGACCAATCAGGTATCAGTGGTCGTAGAAGTGTAATATAGACTTCAGTTGATGCTTAAGACACACAAAAGCACAAGCGAGTTTGTATAGAATGCCTGCTCAAGTTGTTACCGGAGCCAGTACATAGCAGTCATCGAAGCTAGCTCGCCCTCTGTCTGGAGCATCCCGGAGAAGACTGGCGATATGCCGCCTGTAGCCGATTGGCTAGCCAATGAGAGTATGGTTTTACCTTGAACTGGACCAATCAGAATGATCTTCATGAAGCCCTCAGTAAGAACACTGCTTGGTCAGTCAACAAGCGAGTTTTTGCACATCGAGCAGTTGCTATCGTCAAGAGCTTTCACTTAGGCCTTTCTCTCATGAACTATTTATTTTGACCACATATGCCTGTACATCCTGTCTCCCGAGTGCTCCATACAAGTTCCGCCAGAGGCCTTTGTCTTCTGATTTGGAAGGTGGCTGTATCGTGACCAGAGTGGCTGCATTGGTTATCCGTACTGTCAGCGGAAACACAACACACTCTGCTAACAGTAGATCGGTGTTCAATCTCTCTTACCAATTTCGGGATCCGAGTGAGGCGGGTTGGTGCGACGTGCATAACGATACAGTAGAGGAAGTAGTCGCAATTTCACTGATCATTAAGGCGAAGCTAGTAACTAAGAAGAGATGCTTTGTGGAAATTATTCGCTAAATAAACTTTAACTCTTACACTGAATCCACGTTTTGTGGCATCGACGTCAATGTTTGAATAAATGTCATTTACGCTCAGTAAGAGATTCCAGCTACTCCGGCTTGTCAACTGTCATACCGACATTTTAGTAGCTACGCTGAATAGGCCAATGAAGGAAACAGTTCGTTCAAGTTTACTTTATCCAAACAAGATGACCTACGTCGTTCCGAGTTCATCTATCATCTTCTCTAGCCAGGTGAGGCGGTCACGGCTAAAACCAGCCAAGAAGCGAACATCAGGCCGAAACCTTTAGCGCATGGATGAAATCGACTGATTCAACAAAAGGCCCGTAGCCTAAAGATAACAAGGTTGTCTTGCAAGGTGACGGCGTAGGTTCGAGCCTGCGTAAGGGCAGGGCGACCCTTGCATGATTCTTAGCTCACGTGCAATCAGTGGTGGTTGCGCGGCAGAGAAGTGTCGGTACTACGTACCGGCGTAATGCTGATGATTTTACAATGGGATCTGGTCACCGATTCGCCCCAAGCGGTTACCACCGTTCCATCTATACCCCTTACCGCCGGGGTCAAATCAAATCGGCCCAGCAAAAACAAGAAACAATCGTGCATCTGCCGTTTCTGTGGTGCTTGGAACTCCGTTTCGACAGTGCCATGCAACAGAACGCAATGTGTTGGGACATCCAACGTTAACTGAGAAGAACAGACAGGTTCCAACTACAAGGACTCGATACAATTTGAGTCAAAGTAGAGTAGCAGATCATACGGTCTAATGGTCAAGTCACCGTACCAGTCAACGCCAACGAACAAACTGCAAGCCTTCATTCAGACATCAGTTCAGAGACACACTGCTGAATGCGTGCTAGTCCCACGGTTCAGTAATCGCACCAAAATACTGGCGGCGCATGCGGTGGATCGACGTGGTTAATATAAATACAGAAATATCCACTGTCGTCTCCTAGTATAACCATCAAAATGCATTATATGTGTGCGTTGAGTAGTAAGTAAAATTTTCCAAAGCGGAATAACGTTTGTTACGATAAACACTAAACGACCAGTAATTTCAAATATTCGAGATTCATTGCGGATAGAAGCTTTCGGGTCCATTAGTAGTCAGTCAAGCAGGGTTACGGACGCCGATGAGTCATTTTGACGTGAAAGTTCATTTCGGCCGGTGGCTGAAAGGGTGAGGCACCTGCCGTGTAATCCGGAGGTCAACGGTGCGATACCGCATAGGTGGGAGCGACGTCGCGGTGATCGCGTTGCAGCAAAACGTCGGTGCGAGGTGTCAGTGTAATGCTGATAGCTTTCTTGCGTTTCCCGGTTTCAGAGAAGTACACCAAGATGAAATAGACTATTGTGTGCAACGGGGGCACGCACCCTATCTTCCGGTAAAATCTTGCACTGTCTGAACTCAGCCACATGGAAACGCAGTGAGTAACGGTCAGCAATAATTTAGGTGAGCAGCATTGAAGAAAGTAGATGCAACATTGATATCTAGGGAGTGGTCTGAACAAGAACGGTATCCTAAGCATACACTTCGCATATATCTGAATTTATAGAAATGATTAAGTCTATTGAGTTAACAATGGAGGAATGAAGTATGATCAACGGAAACCGCACCTCTAGCTCAATGATTGTATTTGTGGGCTCCACACAAAGGACCACACGTGCAACGGGGTTACCTCATTTGCACTTGATCGAATATCTAGCCACGTTGTCAGATGCAGCGAATGCGTTTACAAATAGAAACGCACATTCGGAATCGGAAGTCACTGTAAGAAACCGTGTCTCATGACAGATGCTGCAGGGTTTATTGCATAAAGTAAGTAGTCGATAAAAAAACATACAATTGTGAAAACAAATGATGGGGAGTGGGACGAAAAAGAGGTGAAATAAGCGAGCCTGAGCAGGTTATGAGGAAAGAAGCATGACTCACCTATGCCAACATCTTTGATTATGGCTTCAGACTTCAGTATTGGTTCATCCTTCATATCGACAAGGAGATCACCGGACTGTGAACCCAGAGAGATGGCGTAATAATGCAGAATGCAACACTGACCTTGGATCTATGAGCCTGATGGCGTAACTTCAAGGCGTCTGGTGGGAAAAAAGAGATGGTAGCGATTACGCCACATCCAAGGAACACAATGAGCCCGTAAATCGGATGCGTGAGTCATATAAGCTACAGAAATCAATTGTGGAGTGGGTGAACCAGCTCTGTGATGGGGATTAAGTGAATGGATCGAACAATGAGGACAAAGCGCAACAATCGATGAGCTGAATTTTATTGGATAAATCATTTGATCCAAAAAGCGTAAACAGAGATGATATGAGAGTAAAACTACGTTACGAGATCGAAAATGAATAGGGAGCATGGAGTGCTAAGTACAGACAACTAACAATGTGAAGAGCTGCTGAATTCATGGTTGCTCGGAAGACGATCGCTGGAATTGCAGCAAGGCCAAGCAGTTTTGGCACCGGGTTGGATCTTCGGCCAGGCAATGCGATTGCAGAAGACAGGATAGGGGAAGCGGATGCCAACAACATTCAAGCATCCAACGTGGAAGCCGTTAACGTGGTCCTAGAAGCAGTGGATGTGTTTTACTCGATTCAAAATAGACAAGGCTTAAATTCCTTCCAGACAACCGGAAAACGCTGGTAATGCGGTCGACAGCAACTAAAGGTCGATCAAACGCAGGGATAACAAGGAAAAGTGGTGTGAAGAGCAGGCACATCAACTATAAGGATCCACAGGTTAATTCAAAACACCGATGGTGCATTGTATCTTGGAAGCTGTAGCAGTTTGGCTAGGCCAAAGAGTTATGAGACAAGAATAGAAACAAAAGGAAAGCAAGTTCGTGTAAATACGATGAAACAATTGAAAACAATGGGAAGTGATGTAAAATTACAGTTCGAAAGATGCCAGGATAAAAGGATATATTAGGCAGACGGAAGTCTAAACGATAAAAAGGAAAGGTGAAATGAAGGGCTTCAATTGTCTCCTGTATGCGTGATAATGAAAAGTATCCGACAAGTGAAGTGGTCAATATTTAGGTTCCATTCAAAAAGACGGTATGTGACAGCCAAATCAAGCAGCCCATCGATTTCTGCGTGTGTTAGCGTCCAGGCTCAAATGATAAACCCTGGGCTCCATCAAACTACGTGTAGCATCGGAAAATAGTACACGCCGGTCGGAGGACAGGAGAACGCAACTCAATCAGCGAAAGCAGTTCGACATACGATCTAGAGCGACATCGAAGGTGTTACAGACAAACGCAAACATCATCATTAATTAGTCTTGTCTTCCACTGGACTGTAGCAAAGTCCAGGAGGCACAAACCGACCAATCCAACCAGTACTTAATGATTAGTGATCATTTAATTCAGGAATGATGACTTATTATCGAGTTCACGTAACCTGCTTCGCTTCAGCAGTGTCAGCGCGAATTCGATAAAGTTGATGACTCAAGGTATCGATCACTCAAGAGATAACGGTGGGACAAAAGGTTTGGGGTTTCATCCAAAATATTCCACTCAACGGACGAGACAAAGAGTGTGTGCTTCAACTGTTCACCTTTAGCCGCAATTGTTACGTCCACAGGAACTTTTCGTGGATCAGAAAATAGGATGGGTTGAAACAGCATCCTGCTGACCTTCTGCGCTTCGAATGTGCTCGCTATCGACCAACAACCAATCAAATCCTGGCACAGATTGTCAAAAGCCATAATAGAAAGCTAAAAAACCGTGAATTCCCAGAGGAAATAAAATGTACGCTCACAAAGTGTGTATCCATGTGTTGTATGAATCCCGGATTGATAGTCAATCCTGCATTAGTACGCGTCAATTGCAACTTACAGAAATAAGATAAATTTAAATGTATGGAGGTGTATCCATCAGTGAGGAAGTATAGTATTAACATTTATGTAGAGACGTGTGGTTCATGATATGCAAATAGTAGTCGTTACACATATTTTGCTTGACATAGCTGAGCGAGGGAGTCAGTTCTTCAGGCGCCAAGCACTTCTACGGCCCGCAGCGTTGGCAACAGCAGCATTAATGGGTGTGCAGAGGATAGTTATCAAAGGAGCACGACCGAAAACGAAAACAGAAAAAATATAACGCGCATTAGGATAATGAGCATCCAACTCAAGCCCAACACATGAAACTATTCTGTAAATTGCATTCAAGTGGAACTTTTCAGCTCTTCTATGGAGGCTAATGAAGCTACCCTAAAAGCTTTGAGCTGTTGACTTGGCAGCATCAGATATCCGAACAATTAGGTCGCCATCGCTGGAATTTACAGGATCACAAGCATGCCATGTAATCCGAGGGAGTGGGTTCGAGTCTGTGTAGGGAACCGCTCAACCCTGGTAGTATCTGTAGCGCATGCGCGACGGCAGCAAGCCGTCGGTATTCAGTACCGACGTACTGCTGATACTTTATTTGAATAAACCCAAGACGGTTTCGGTACTGTCGCCCACGAACAGAGTAACTAGACGAAATTCAGATTGACGAAAGCCCCGTGAATCCCCCCCGGCTGAATGAACGATGATAAAAACAAACGCTTAGCGGAGCAAGCCTCACAAGTATGTGAGGAACTTGAATGCCACGACTTTAATGAGGGCCAGAGGGAGAAAGACTAGCGTCTAGTCACGGCGCTAGCATTGACTCAGCCAAGGGCGAACACAGCAGTCGTGCAGTAAACACCACTTCAATGTAGTCCGGATGACGCGCAGATGCACTTTTGAGGGAACAACTGATTCCTCGTGAAAAGTAACCACTCAGCGCAGTTTTGAGTGAATGTGTTACCTCATAGCAAAGTGACTGAAAACTCCGTACCACACTGCCTTTTCTAACACGGGAACTTTTTTCCAGCTAACTGCAACACCGTTTCTTTAGACACACGCTGAATTGGCGTAATTGCTAAAAGAACATTTTTACAACTGTCACCGGGAACCCTGAATGCAATTATAGTATTTCATAACAGTTCCGTACGTATATTCGCAACACGCGTCAGAGTAAAGGAGATGAATGGTAGAATGGGGCTTGATGTTAACCAATTGCGAATATGTGATGGACATTCAGGTTCTGGAGCCGGTGGTAGCAAACGACTACTCAGTTCTTTTTGCAAACATGTAGCTGCAGCTACAGCAGATCCACTTATTGCAACCAACTTACAACTAGTGGAATACGGATTTCGACAACCTGACTCGGGTGGCCAACTAAGTGGATTGGTATCTACCACAATCCGTACCAGTTGAAGCTTGTTAGTTAGACACCCAGGACGGAAGTAATTCAATTTGCAACCGGTTTATGATTCTCCAGTGTCGGAAAGTCGGATCGATCAAGCCACACCGGTTCAACAAGGAATATAGTAATCTGGCTCAACGGTGGCACAAACTATGGGATAAATTCCTTAACTCTGGCTCGGTCGACAATCATGAGGTATCTAAAATACAGCGAAACATTTACGACGGTTCGAAAATGGGCAAGCGCAGGCATTTTGAAGGACAATTGGTAAACTCCGCAAAGACCGACACGAAGAGAATCTTGGCGTAAATGAAGCGGCGCCTGAAGCCAGCAGGCGACCTACCAGTGATAGAAGGCACGGGCGGACAGCCCCTAACCTCCAACACTGGACATGCATCCGCCTTGACAGCACACTTTGTTTCCGTGTTTGCAAGAGACCAGGTGTATGTCTGTAGTTAGACGCGTACCGCCCTTACTGAACTCAACAGTATAGTTTGTGGTGTGGAAGAAGTGCGTCAAATCCTTGCCAAACGACGGCACTAAGCCTACTGGGCCTGATGGGCTACACCCATAATTCCTAATTCCTTACTGATCATCCTCCCGCCTGCCTTAATGGACCAACACAAAAAGTCGCTGTCTGGATGTTTGTTGTCGATTGACTGAAAATGCTCGGTGGTAAGGCCGATTTGGAAACGCGGTGATTCCAACAAAGTAGACAAATTACAGGCCAAGTCTGCTAACTATTTTAGTAAAGATTACCGAAAAGATTGTGAAGAAGAGTTTACCACAGCTGTTCCAGTCAAAAATATCTACTGACGCCCGCATAGTGCGGCAGTAAGTCAGGACGTTCATGCACCACGAACTAGCACGATGATGTATGAATAATTGCAAGCAATGTGTCAGGGGAAGTATGCAGACGCTATCCACATCGATTTCAGTAAAGCGTTAGACAAAATAATTCATGAAGTCCTTCTCCACAAGCTGATAGTGCGCGGTGTTGGCCGCTCACTGCACCAGTTAATCAGCAAGCTTTTCGTCGGACGAAAGTAGGGTGTACACGTCGATAGGCAATAGACTGACTGGTTTACTTCGACCAGTGGCGTGCCCCAAGGCACGGTGCTGGGGCCTACATTCTTTCTGATTTATATCAGCGATCAATCTCAGCTTTTTCGATCGTCATGTGCCCGGTTTGCAGAAGACCTAAAGAGTTGAAAAGTGATCAACACTTCCGACGACTGCGGCTTACTTCAGCAAGGCCTCTACCACTTTTCCATATGGTCCGCATTCAGGTCAACCCGCCCAGGTCAATATTAATGAGTTTGGAGAACGGTGGTGACAAACAAACTTACACTCAAGACGGCCAACTGCCAAATCACACAACCAACCGAGGACAAGGCGAACAAGCTACACCGAAATGGACTGCGCATGCTATGGTCGCTCAGACGCAGCTTCTGCGTATCGTCTGAAGAGGCTGCTACTCACCTCTTCTTCTCCATCACACACACAAATATATATATATATATATATATATATATATATATATATATATGAGAAACCGCTCGTAAATTAGGGAGAGATCAGTATGTATATAGTGATCATACTCTTGCATGAGTGCATGTATATGCTAATTGTTAGTTTTAGTACTACACTGGCATATTGCATCAGCAGAATTGTCGAATGAGAACATGAATAATAACATTTCAAAATGTAAGATCTGCATTTTGGTGTGGAATGATGTGAAGATTTTATGTCCTGATTGCGATTGGTAGGCTGTTCCACAAGGTGTATTTGATGAGGAAATATGTGGAACGCATGGTTGTTCTAGCCATTGGTATCCGTAGCGTAAATTTTTGTTGCGGAGTCTGTGATGGTTATCATGCTTTATCGCTAAGTTAGGTGTATAAACGTACGCTTTTTGGCGCAACAAATTATGAAGGAGGATCAAATTTTGCTTCGGACGTCGCAGCCACAGAAGCTCGATGTGAAGCCGTTTGTTCTCGGTAGCTTAGGGTGAATGTGCTATTGAACGAACGTCTGGTGAATGACCACTGTAAATTTTCTATAGCTTTCCTGTTCAAATTCCGCAAGCTGCCATAGATGGAGTTGCAGTATTCGATAATGGGGTGAATGAGGGTTTTAAACAATCTAAAGTTGACACGGAATGTACGGATTCTGTGGTACATGTTGGCCACGAATTGTTTGGCTCGAGATATTCGGTATTAAGCTTGTTCAGAAAAGCAGAAGCCGGAAGAGTACCAGATCGAAAGGTCCCGAGTAGACTGGCGTATGGACATGTTAGCATATGGTACGCCGGCCTACTGCCCGACCACACGAGGCGAGGCGCAGAAGATCGAACGAGTCTAACAAGTCGCTGGCAGGATCATCCCTAGTTTGTGGGGTCTACAGTACGAAGACAGGTGCGAAGGGCTGGGACTATACATTCTGTCCCAACGACAATTGCGACTCGAGCATATCATGACTTAGCGTATCCCACATCTGGGTGACTTTTCCATGCTGAAGCAACTGCTCCACTTGCGAAGAGCTTACAGCACACGCGGACAGCAATAAAAGCTTGTAGTTTCAGATCTGAAGCAAGCTCTCCATCACCTGTGTTTGAACGCCGAGTGGTCAATATTCGGAACAGCGTGCCAGAGCAGACAGTGGAAGCTAACTCAGTGCAGCAGTTCAAAAGGTTGCTGGATCTGCATTTCGCCAATGGTAGATTCCGAGAGAGATTACCCGTTGATATCTCATATTTGTGAGCCCCAATCTACTGTGGGATACACGTTGTTTAAGATGTTACGTGGAAGCTTGAAAAACGATCACGGGGTTGACGGATAAGATATATTTATTTGGTTCATAGATAGCGTGTTTTGTTATAGACAGTTTGTTTGCCTATTTATTTAACGTTCTTGATCACATTTCAACGGAGTTAGGCAAATTCAAATTGCTATTTCCTCCCATAATACTGTATACAGTAATGCGTGACAACATCCGTAGACCAAATGAGAGCACAGCGGAAGGTGCTGAAATCTGTTGACTAAATTAGCAAGAATAAGAACATCAAAATAATAAATGTCATGATTCTCGGTTGAAACCAAAGATGTTTCACGAATTCGAAAGCAGCCTGCCGATGTTCAGCAGGAGGGAAGCGCAGAGAACGCCTGTGACGGAGTTCCGTGGACAGACGATCCCCACGACTGCTCCTCGAGAGAGACGGCTAAGGCGCCCCTTTCTGGTACGGCCAATAATCGCAATATCAAAAGTTAATCTGCTAACATGGCAACCATTGACGATTGGCAATAAAAGTAGAGGAGAAAGGATCTAAACTGGGAATGAAAATAAAGTCGAAACAGGAGTAGCTACGTGTCAGCACAGTGAGCACAGCACTTACAACCGTCAAGCATAACCGATCGATCCACAATGCTGGGGTGCTCCTCTAACATTGCAACTATCACCAGATATTTACAGAAAAAGCATAAGGGGAATGCGAACTCCTGCGAACCCGGACCGACGAGATGTTGGCGATGCACAAGTTTCGCGATTAAGCTGAAACCAAGTGATCCAAGTCATGAACAAACTGCAACTGAATAAAATCACTTTTGAAACCATCCGCAGTTGACCTGCGCCAGGAAAACAGTAACGACTTAGCTCCGGTTAGATACCTTTGATTCATGTATTAATACTACAATCTGGCAGTTATTTCGGGAGATAAAGGTATGCTGTGTAGACTATGGGGCAATGTTTGTATAGCAAATAGAGAGCTCACCAAAATGCATTGTTTTGAAGGGAGGCGGCACATTTGGAGATTCACGCACGGCTAAGATAGAGTGACGAAAAGGTTTTCAACGAGGATACACTGACCTTTCTCAATTAGATCGAATAAATGTGAGAGAGTGGTTGTTGCGGGGACCTCATGAAGAGTGATGTAACAGGTGGTACGGAATTTGAACGATCGTATCAAAGTGACAGGGACGGAGATTACATCACTCATAATGCTGGGAAAATGGGCTGCAAAAAGAATCAACGAATCTAGGGATCACGCCATTTTCCTAAAAGGAGGATGAGGAGAATCGGAACAGATGCCGTGAAACTACATAGGCAATCTATGCAATGAAGCATGGAACGTATAGCAAAGAAAAGTCATTCAAGTGCAGCAATGAGGAATAGTTTTCACAACGTCATTGTGCGCAATTCCAAATTGTGGTATATATAAGTAGGCACTGCCAGAGCACACATCCCTATGAAGAAGCCACACCGCAGCGTTCGTAGACACTATAACAGTGGAACGACGGGGCACAATAAAAACAAAAATAAGGAAAGTTTTAATTAGAGTAGAGAAAAGTAAAACAGGCTGGTTTGTTAAATGTGACGAAATTGGAAATGATGAAGGGAAAGCTGATATTCACGGGAGGAGATGCCGAGAAGACATTTCAGACAACATGAATGAGAACATACGAGTAAGAGTAGCAAAATAAGCTATGAACTCGAGATATTAATCAATTGATCTTGTGTATAAAAAGAAACGAAACTGCTCCCGCGATGTAGCTGGTGGTCCGGTATACAAGGACAACATTGGACAGAGAGACGGCTTGTTGTGTGGCGACAAATCTATCAAGCACTGTTGAATAGAGAAAATCGGTATAGTTAAAAATTCAGAGGAAAGTGTGCATTTGCAAGCCATGTTGAAGGCAAGCCGATAAAAAGTTGAAACACAAAGCTTACTATAAGTAAGTGACAAGAGTATGAGCGCACAGATCCGACCAGGAAATATACAGTAATGATAGAGGAAAAGACACAGTTAGAGAAATAAGATAAAGCGAAGAAAACTGTGCCACTTAGACGATTAAACATGCCTGTTTTGCGATTATGAGTGCAACAGCCATGACTCGAACCAACGTAGAAACAAAACGATAGTGCGAAATGAGGAGGCGAGAAAGAGATAGATGACGAAATGAGTATAACTAGTGACATGTGATGTTCATGTGGAGACAATATGTTGAACAACGTGCTTCACAAACAGCCTGGGTAAAGTAAGAGTAAGGGTGTTCAAAAGTCTATGCCTTGCTTACACACAATGTGATGTGTACGTTGGAAAACATTCGTTCAGGTTATTCTCTCTGTTTCATGAGGACTTGCGCCTACTGATGAAACAACAGAGAAGTGAAAAGTCATAAGACAAAGAAGATTTGCCCCGAAAGGCAAATGTTTGAAATACAGGTTTTGGTTAACCGCGGTTGAGAGACACACTCACGTGATTGTGTTTACCGCCCGTCCTACTTGGACTCAAAATTGCAGTAACATAATAATGTCATTGGCAACCTTCACGCATCAAAATGAGATGGGTCAGTTGGCTTGCGCTGCTATTGATAGAGGATGACAGTGTGAATCAAACAGCGTTGCATAATAATAACTCGTCAGGAACAAAATTCATAAAAATATGGTGCGAATGGGACAAAGGAGGAGAGTGATCATTTGGCCCAATATAACTAGCGGAATGAAACGAGGCAAGGAAACAAGCAAACTTAATGAACAGCACTATAAAGTAGTTCGACCTAAAATAACAATTACTAGCATTGGAATTATGAACAGCATGTTACTGCTATCCTCGAATGATCGCAAAGGATGTGGGTTTGCAAGAAAGATTCGTGACACGAACGAATTGCCAATTCACGAGGTTCAGCCGAAGATACATTCAGTACCCGAAATCCGCTTCTTCAGTGACTTATGAGTCTTTATAATATGCCCTGAGCAGGACGACAATCGGAAGTTACAGATACCTGGTGCGTCAGTGAGAGCAGAGGACATAAACAAAATGCAGAAGGCGAGTAAGATGAATCGCATCAGTACTCGATCGACTGATCAACTCTCGGAAATCATAACTGTCGAGAGTGGTAGTTAGTTGGTCTTTTTCAGGTCAAGTGGGAAATTAGATCCTGAGGTATGCCGATACCTAACTGCTCCAAACCTAACATAAATGATGAAACAGAATATAATAAGAATATACGCGAAAGACGTAAATAGTTGAGAAAACTATGCACGTAATTTACATATTTCAGTTGACAATAGGACAACACGCGCGATGAGTCGTCTTAGACACCAATCAGCCTCGGTTATTCTTACCCTGGCCACCAATACCATCCTTTCGCGTTATTTGATTCGGATACTGAACAAACACTAGTGAAAATGCTGGTAGATTAGTAACTACGAGATCTAGATCACATTCCGAAGTTTAAATGTCACATTGGCGGTCTATATTTCAAAACCATGGATCTTTCATTTGCTTTGCTACTCACACACCTTCCCACGCCAACTGTTCAGTTCTTAACAATCGCTGTTATCCGTTAACAGTCGAATCGCACTTTCATGATTCCCGATGGTTCCGCTGATGAGCACAGAGTTGGCCCAGTGGCCCTTTTTCGGCTACGGTACTCGTTCCGTCTGGCATGTCTCAATGTACGTACATTCATGCAGATCCGGCAACAAGCTGGTCCTGCGCGCACCTTGGAATCCCTCGCCACCGATGTCTGTGGCTTTTCTGAAACCCGATTGCTAGATCCCAGTATTGTGATTGAATTGAGATCTCTCACGAATCACGGAGTCATATTTCACCTACGTCCATCTGGTGACACAGAAGCTACTGCGGTAGGCTTGGATGCCGTTGGTACAGTGCTAAGCAGCAAAACCGAAACCGAACTGTTGGACTGGTTCCCGATTAATAGCCAACTGTGCGCAGTTCGGCTTCGGCGGATCATACAGGATCAACAGATGTTGAAAGGAGAGATGCAATTTGTTTGTGATTTTAACGTACGCTCCAAATGACCGCAGTTACGATTCGGTCACCAGCTCTGGAGCAAAGCTTGCAAATCCGATATCGTTAACCTTACTGGGGCACTCAAAGCACGGGCTGGTCGTCTATTATAATGTGAAAGTCACCTCGGTGGTCGACATGCGCTCGATGAGCCTCTCAGACAATGGAGAGTAACTTCTCACACTGTAGGAAAACAATCATCTGCTTTTCTCGAGCACCAGCTTCAGGCATTCAGCTACTTAGCACCCTCGTTCTGCAATTCAAATGTGGACCCCGATTGATCAAATCGCAATTAGTTTCAAATAGTGGGACAGTGTAAAAGTATGCAGATCCATCGAGTCCGCATTTCTTGACCCAGAACATTATCATGTCTGTGCCAACATCTGAATGAGTTTCGGAGGGTCCCGATAAACGAAGCATTGTTAGATACAAATAAACTATCTACATCATCGATTTCAACAGAGCTATCAATCGTTCCTAGCCGATGCATATAGCTGCAACTCAGTGAAAAACATTGATGGACATTGGACCTTCATGTAGCAGACCATGATCACTTCCGGACAGTCAGTCAGTGATCTTACTCAGCAACATATGAATGCCTAGAAGAGGCTATCTTCGTCCCCGTTCCTCTTCAATATTACGATTAAATACATTCCGTCAAGAGTTCTGGGGGTTTGCCAAAATTTCGGCCAGCAGCTGATAGCGAGTAAGCGAGCGATTGACAGAGTATTCTGATGACATCGCATTACTTGGTGACGATTCGCAGAGTATGCAAACCCATCTAAACAATTTGGAGACTGAGGCCTATGCGAGGGTGAGTCAGAAAGTAACGCCATCTTCTTTAGGACAGGTATAGTTCTCAACACAGGAACATGCATCATACATCAAAATGAAGCTGATCCTTTGCGGATCACAATTCTACTTCTCATTATATTCACCGTTTCTCTCGATAGTAATGTTTCACCTTGTTATTGAGTTAAAACAATATTTCACCTTGTTGAATGGTGGCCAATTGGTCTGCGCGTCTGGCTTGCAATCATAAGGTCAACGGTTCTAATCCGCGTAGTGGCAGTCGTCCGCGCGATATACTCAGCCCACGCGCGACTAGTGGTGGTCGCGCGGCAGGAAAGCGCTGTTACGGCGTACAGCTGACGAGTAGTCTTACCCTTAAAGTTTTACCTTCGAATGAAAGCATATATCCCTGTCACGTAAAATGCAGCTAACTGTTTTTTGAACCACTTCTTCATTGCAGTTTTCACTTTCTTGTCACCGGAATAATGCTTGCCTCATGGGGCCAAAGATATGTTAGTCTGAAGGCGCTAAATCTGGTGAGTACGGAGGATGTGGCAAAGTTGTCCACCTGAATGAGGCGATTGTCTCCCTTGTCCTGATGCTTGTGTGTGGTCGAGCATCGTCGTACAGAAAGACTACCTCGATTGGCAGATTGGATCTCCTTCGTCGGATTCTTGCTCTGAGAATGGCAAGGGTCTCAATGTAAAACTGAGTTTATTGTTTCTCCTGTTGGAAGAAAATTAATAAAAATGACACCTTCAGCACCCTAAAAGGCAGTCGCCATGATTTTTCCAGCTTACTTGTGCGACATTTCCGGCTGCGGTGACGCCATTCCATTGACTTCATCTTTGATTCCGGTTCATAATAATGAACCCATTTTGCATCATTTGTTACGAACCTTCGAAACAATGCGCTGTCATTTGACTATGTTCTATAAGTTCAGTGCATGCATCGACCCTGTCAGTCTTATGTTCGGTTGTCAGCTCTCGCGGTACCCAATGGACACATAGTTTATATATAATGAGTAATAGGCTCGCAAAACTAAGTGAACTCTCATGTTTGTCGTGTTTTAATACTCTTTTAGGCCACTCAGCCCATTTCGGCTTCTTATGCATTATGCATTAACAGGATCGTAGACGCAAGGCTGTGGTATGGGGCGGGATAAAGAAACTCACAACACAGACGTCATTGTGGCCGGTTCTTCGACGATAAGTCGGGTCGAATTGCGGCAGTCGCCCCAGTGGTCTGCCGTTAGTGAGTTCTATACTAAAAATGGCCTATCGCTGCCGTGTAATAGCAAGCTGATGGAAGCGGCTGGGTTATTGCGGGGCACCAAAAACCAAGCGAACTGTCATACAGGTCAAATAGAGAAGAGCACAATGAAAACTTGCGCCAATATATGAAGTTAGGCCCCCCCTAAACGCGGGGCAAGTCAAGTTCACGTGATGGGGTCAAAAAAACCCGCCACAAACACTTCGAAAGAGGGGTTAACACATAAGAGGAGAGTTTGGAGTAAGCCAAACAGCATGTCGAGAGGCATAACCAATTAGGGGCTCTTCGAACCACTTGAACCAATCAAAGGGACAAAAGTGGTGGAAAAAGGTAGTCGTTTGCAGGCAAAAGATCAATGCAACAGCCAGAGAAAATGCTGTAGAGACGGAATCGAAATAGAAGTCTAAAGATGTCTAGCATAATCAGTAAGAAGTGTGCAACCAAAAGATGAAACAGAATAAACCACTCACTACATCACATGCACGCCAAATCCAATTGGGAAATGGCTCGGTGAATGACAGTTAGTAAAACAGTGTAGATCAATAGCTTTCAGTACTGAAATATCAAATTAGGTATTGTGGAAAACAAATATCTTTTGCACTGTTAAGAGTAAAAACAGAAACTGTGCAGTCATAAGCAACAATTTATGAGGCCATCAAGAATGCTGGGTTTGCATAAGCTGCACTGTTCACCTGTCCACTGATTTCTGGGTGTTTAAATACAAACAAGTGGCGAGTAGATGCCGAATTTGTGAAGTAACACAGTGTTAGGCTGCACCGGCTTACTTTTCCATAAACCACATTTCAAATTACAGGAAGCACAGATGATAATCAGGTGCATATCCATAGGTGGTTCTGCTTGGGAGTGCAAACGGAATTAGGCGTTTGACAAAGGCAGTATGATGACAAGAGGACGGAGACTGCGATGCCTCCGTGCAGTGTCAGCACGCACACAAACAAGATGATCTATGGAGTAGACCCCATCAAAAAGAAACCCAACCAGACAATGGATGGAAAAAACAGATGTGGAGATGATTTGAAAGAATTGCATCGGGCATTAATTGTGGTTTCGTAAAGTGTGCGAAGAGTAAGTACAAATTAGGTGGAGGTATAGAATAGAAACTGTGTTATGTCAGGCTGATGATGGTGCAACTGACGGAAGTCGGAACTCGAGAATTAGCTGAGTCACTGTGGCTGTGGTGCCACCGACAAAAGTAATCAACCCGACTGTGATAAAGATACAATGTTTCGCTACGACCGTGAGCCAAAACAGCCGTATAGAGTGTCTATCGGGCCAAAGATGAACAATCTCCAGGGCAGGTGGCATGACAAGGGCCAGTAGAGAGCTGGAAAACGAGCCGATTAGCGAGATCATCAATTCCAGCTTCGGTATAGTGATCACGACGAGGTCTGGAAAACATGAGACAAATGTAAAAACAGCTTTGACAGGAAGGCCAAGGGTATATCAACTCCAAAAAACGTAAGTGCACACATGATGATTGAAAAAGCAGGTTGCTTGATACCAAGTTATCAGTATCCATATGTAGTACAGAGTTCGAGACGCGGCCGCTAACAGATAATTGATAGACAAGCAAAGCAAGCTATACTGTATTCACTACCATTGCTTGGAACTGCTGTTAAGTTCCGCTGAAATTTCCTAATACACAGTGAAATTAATTACACGATAGGAACTATTCAATTCCCTATTTCTTCGTCGAGAACAGTTAGGGAGATCGAAAAAGTGGTGATATATGGTAGCACCATGCTATACTTGAGTAGCAAAATGCAAGGGAGAAAATCACGTTGTGTATGCTAGTCAAGTGGGGCTACATTGTACGAAGTCACGGATCGATACACGAGGTCTCATTCATTAAAGTTTAACGATGAACAGCTTCATGATAAGAGCTGTAATAATCTGAACAGAAAAGGAACTCACTCATAATTTTCACTGAGGCGCAATGCGCTTACAGATGATGATGATTTTATGGGATATGGAAACAGGCTTAAGTTTGGCGTGCTACATCGGGACGCATAGGGTAGGGACCCAAGCGATCAAGTGTCTTTGAGTATATTGCAATCAACGAGCCGAGCCAGCTGTGGCGAGAACATGCGGGATGTCAGAACAAGCTCGCAGCAGTACCTTGCAATTCCAGTGTAATGTAAGTGATAAAAGAGCAGAGTTCTGCATCAGTTTAGCCGAAAACGTTAGTGTACGAGTTGGGTTTCATTATGGGACATCATCCATATTTAAATCAAGATGACCGGAGCGGTTCGCTATATCCATTTCATTTTTGCAGTGCTCCAAAGTGCTGGTAGCTCTGTAGCGTCATTTATATAGGAGTGTAAAACGCATGGTAAAGGATGTCATAACTCCGGAAAGTCGGTCTCGGTTTGACTGCCGACCCGTAGCCCGAAGAATCATAACCCTGTCCTGTAATCTAAGGGCACGCATTCGAGCTTGTTTAGGGGTCGGGCGACTCTCGCAGTAACCTTAGCCCATGTCAGACCGGTGGCGGTTGCGTGGTAGCGAAGCGTCGGTAGTGCGTACCAGCGTACCGCTGATGCCTCGCCTCAATTTGACTGGGACACTGTGATTATCAAACGGTAAAATGTCCGTATAAACCAAGTTTGCAACCCGCGCCGTCTTAGTACTTGCATTGTACATTTCTGCAACGGATACCCCATGAAGGAATACACGATAAAACTGAACGAAAATGAAGATATGGGACGACGCTGGTGATTACCATTTGTTATCGAAAAGGGTGATCAGCAATATTAGGAGACTTCGACGTGGCCTCAGGTATCCGAGTACCTAGCGTGTAAAACCCCCACGCGAATCACGGGAACACATTTTCCAGCAGCAGATGGACCAAACCAGAACGGTTGACTGGGCTATGTAAGCTCCTGAGTAAACGAACACAGATAAAGCGGTATAGAGCACCATTGTCGAACATAAGTAACTGAGTGACTGTCGAAAACTTGCCTGTCCAGTTTTTTATCCAGGTTTTCCATCCCGTGGCAAATTGCGAGAGAAAATAATGATTCTCCATTGGAAGCAACCTGATACCCATTAGTTTACACAAGTGATCGATGCGCCTATGTAAATCTGTGGGTCCTATACACACATGCTTCTCGAACTGATCAGACAGTAAAGAGGACAGCATCTAGAATCTTAGAAACCGAAGGTCCAGAAACCGGGGTAGTGACGGTGGCACAAAAATGGTTGAGGTGTGATTGCGACTCAAACTACAGATACAGATGGAGAGTTCATGTGAACGGGCTCGAGTCACCAAAGCATAAGATGGTTCGGAGTAAAGACCAGACTGATTTGATTCTGGAAGCCATCAGCTCAGCGGGACACAACGCCGGTGATGTCCCACAACCGCGGGATTTACTGAAGCGTGGATAGGGTTAGATAAAAGAACCTTTGAAGTTGACTTCTGTTTCGGTCCTCCTACTATTTTCAGAACCTTACGAGTACGTCACCATACCCGCTCTGGATCGCGCTTGATAAGTCATTTGGCCACATCAACGTCGAGATGGAAGCCGTTTCCATCACTAGATTCTAACAGGCTAAATGATGGTTGAACTGTTCGCTGAGCATGGCAATTTGGTTGCAAACATGTCATCACCTCGATTGGCCACCTGAACAACCTGAGCTACCAGTTTTCGTTTCTATAAGCTAAATGACTTTATCATTGCCCAGTGTCGTAAAAAAAAGAAGTGTTGCAAGAAACATCGCAGAATTCAGGTCCAGAGAGAGAGAGAGAGAGAGAGAGAGAGAGAGCAGAAGCTTACTTTGTATGACGTCATATTGATTAAGTCCAACTGTAGGTTGATAAGGTTCGATAGCCAATAAAAACAGTCATTTGCTGCATATCCTGGTACAATTTAAGCAAAAACCGACAACACATGAATGTGAGCGGCAACCAAGGATAAAGACACAATATCGGAAACCTATGGCGACATGGTCGTTTGAGTCAATTGTTGTCTGGTCACCGGAGAGTACCAGCGTCCATTGTTCCTTAACGCAGTGTTGCATTAAAAAACGGATGATTGGTGCAGTTACAATGAACATTGTTTTTAAGCACGGAAGTAAGTCCGGATATGCAGTTTATACGAGTTGAGCTTGGATGGCATTGTAGCGCGTCCACACCCAGAGTACCTAGAATGATAATAGCCGGTAACACTGCGCACTATGGTGCTAAGTTTGCAGCAGGTGAATTTAGCTGTACTAGAATCATAGTCGGTTGGGTAAAGGCGACAACGACAAACAGCATGTGCGGATGGTTCAATGACACTGACAAATGGACTGAATTTTAGGGAATTCAATCGGAGAGCGATGATTCAGTTCTAAAGTTGCAAACTACATTCAGTATGGATGACTCGGTTGTAATATCAGCAACTCCGGAAGCGTGCAATCAATAAGAGGGGACAGAACAAATGCATACCGCTCAACAATAGCGAAGGAGTCGGAAATTCTGGCCTCTGATGAGCAGGAAAAATACCTGATGAGATTTTACTGGTTCATTTCAGCTGTTCACAAGCCAGAATAGTCTAACCCCAATCCAGAAAAGCACCAGGCGATCGTTTAGCACAATTGGGGCTCGTTCCGTGAACGCGATACATTCTGACCTCTACGAAATTTGTGCGTGTTAGTGTTAGATGCTGCCCAACTAGTTTCGGTGCACGCAGGTGGGACACAGACAAATAAATCGAGCAGCGTTGTTATATGTTCGATGAGATCCTGCCATTACCAGGCCTAGGTAGCAGAACGGGTTGGACAGAAGACATGAGCGGAAAGCAGTGGGAACAAGTGGTATAGGCACATGAGGATTGTCGCTTAGAGGATAAGACGCGCTATATCGCAGTTAGCTGGTAAATCATGACGGTTCGAAGCTGTCCCCCGTGGCCAAGTGGTATAAGCTGCTGACTGGCGGTGCAAACCGCTGGTGGTCATGGGTTCGAATCCTGATGGATGCGCACTACTGATGATGCCCAATAGGCTGGAACTGCAGTCTAGTGCTTTTCCGGGCATGTGGACGACTATCTGATTTGGAAACCGGCTGCGATAAACCGCACTTAATTACATCAAAATCCCCTACTCATGAGTACATCAAAATATATCCGCCCTGACAGTTTCTAAATGCTATGTCGTACATAGCTACTGTTAGTGGACGTCGTGTCTTTCGGGGCCAACCCTGTCCTCTGCAACGTTCGTAACTTGCATGGCAGTGGAGGATAAGACGCGTTATATCGCAGTTAGCTTGTAAATCATGACGGTCCGAAGCTGTCTCCCGTGGCCCAGTGGTATAAGCTGCTGACTGGCGGTTCAAGCCGCTGGTGGTCATGGGTTCGAATCCTGATGGATCCGATGGATGCGCACTACTGATGATGCCCAACATGCTGAAACTGCAGTCTAGTGCTTTTCCGGGCATGTGAACGACTATCTGATTTGGAAACCGGCTGCGATTAACCTCACTTAATTCTGACCACTGCATAGTAAATCGATGTCCCAAGTTATACAGTAAGGCCAACTATGTTGCGCTAAAAAAGGACAATCCACAAGTGTTAAACGGCAGAATTGATAGGCTGATAACATAGAGAAACCTAGATAAAGGTTTTGTTTAACTGATTTGTTTTAATTTTTATGTATGAAGACTTGTCTGCTCAATGAGAGCATCTGGCAAACCATATAAACTTCTGATTTTATATGTGTTGCCCCACTGAGACAATCAATGTGCGAAATGTTGGATTTTCGTATCCGTTACTCAAGTACGAAGGAAGAAATAACAGGCTCATAAACATCGATCAACAACATGTGTTAAAAATCGGTCCGTGGATATAAAAGCTGAAAGGAGAAGCTCAGACACTCTGTACATTCAGACCGTTCTAGATAACCACAGTTACCGTGACCTATGAAGACTTTTCATAATCAACACACGTTAGCTGAAGCTGACAGCACACCTCAGCGAATGTGCAGCAATACAAGAAAATAAAATATTAGACGACGTTACACACTGCAAAAACGAAAAACTATATAATACTAAATATCATATTATACATTGGGTATGAGACCGTTGTTGTAGGAGGAAACTAAATGGGTGGGGAGGGACAAAGAAACTGAGGACAAAAAAGTCATTAAGGTCGGCTCTTTAACCTGTTAATTTGTTTATTCAACCTGACGTGTTGTCCTTCGGACCCCAGCCCAACAGTTAGGAAAAAAGGCTTCTAAGACAACTATCCAGAAACCAAATGAGGCCAGTGGACAGAATGTTCCATTAGCAATTACTCTGAAAGGATGCGCAATATTTTAAAGACACCTCTGACAGAGATCTTGAACCGATGCTTAAAGACTGGTGGAAATCAGTCAGAATAATAGCAATTCCTAAGAAAGGATCTCAGAAGTGTTTGGCAATTGTGTGCATGTCCGTACCGTTGAAGGTTTTGGAAAGACTACTGATCCCCAGTATTTTCACAAGCAACCAAACTGATGATGCCAAATAGCTTGCCTATAAACCAGGACTCCACACACCGGATGCGGTTTTGTAGCTGGCGCGTCCTATTGCGTTAGTTAGATAATTAGGCGTACGGTCCCTATTTCTCGGTTTGGCTTGCCGAACAACCTCTTCGTGGTGCCAGCATGGTGGTTCGGGATTTTCCCATTCCAGCAAACGGTTCGGCGGCAGTGGTGGGTTTTTCGCCTGGCAAGCGTTCTCCTTATAAAAAGCCACATATGTCCGTTTAACAACACTTTGACGTGACGGACGTGACTCGCCACTAAATAAAGCCATTACCCCTTGCTTCATCCTGGCGAAGCATTGTATTCCAGCAAATTTATGCTGTAATTCTAGGGAGCATTGGGCCCCTGTTTGTCAAAGGAACAAACAAAAGGCGTATGAACTGAGCAAGCAGTCAGTGGCTCCCAATGGGCGCGAATCCCTGAATTCGCTCCGCTGCCTTGCGGGCAGGCTATTCAGCCAAAGGCTCGGGGTGGTGTCCCCTAAGTCAACACCCTACTTCGGCTTGGGCAACCGGGTAGTATCTCACCCTCAGACAAAAACATGGAATTTGATGTGTTGTTGTGTTTTCTCTTAGAATTGCTGTACCTTCTTTTGTGTTGCATGGTTACTGATGGCTCTATGTCTGTTCAGAAAATATATATTTCTCGGTTATACCTACGCTTTTGGGAGCTTCGATAGATAATTATTGTTCAATATTTTGTTCGAAACTAGTGTCCTCATATGTGTGTAGTGTAATGCGTGATTACTTCACAAATCCCACCCACTGTACTTCTAACCAACTGTGGTGTTTTGCAGACAGCCATCCTATCACCCTTCCCATTTTCCGCTGATGTCGAAAGGCTCTCCATTCCATCAAAATTCATAGGTTGTAATTACGCTGATGAAGTCTTTCTGAATTGTGCAATCCAAATCATCGAGGATTAAATGAAATAGTGACTTGGTCGAGCTCCCGGTCCTTCCCTCTCAACTCTTCTAAGTGCTGCGACGTTACATTCTGAACAAATCATACCTCATTCCACTATGGTTAAGTATCTCTGGGTTTTCGTATCCGACAATTAATTGGCCTACACATATTTTTGAAACGTTAAAAAAGTTAGCCGGCTGTCATTTTATGCTCTCAAGTTCAAAACGGTATCTGATTCCGATGCTTTGATTCTGAGGTATATGACTGCATGTATTCGTCCCCAGATTGGTTATACTGCCCCCTGTTGGTTTCCTCAGACATTTTCAGTAGATTATGTGCCTCTTTTCCGTTCGCTAAAATTTATTTCTCGCTACTTTGGGTATAGGAAAGAAGCGCGGATCAATTTTTTGTCGTTAACATTATGATGAACGCATCAACTTGTAATCCAGGATTGTAAAATACCTCGCATCCCTTACATACTATCCTAGCAACCACTAGATCAATCTCTTCTATACGGTCGAAGTTTAAACTTCATATCCCCGTTTGTCGTCGTACTGAAAATTCATCTTGTCTTATCTATCACGCTTACCAATCGACCCATCTGGAATGAAACACCTTGACCGTATGCTTGATTGGAGACGCAAATCTGCGTTTTACTGCTGCCAAGTGTCATTGCTCATTGATGCTTTGTTGTATTATATTCCCCATTGTTGGTTTGAAAATGTTGGATAAAGTTGATTTGACTTGAGAAGCAACAGCGATGTCTCACCAGGTTTCCCAGAATAAGTATTATAATTACCGAATATAAGCCGATGAGTTCTGGACAATTTTTCATTTCTGTAGACGTCAAAATCGGGGAGAAACAAGTATCGTTGCGTTTTTTGTCGATATTTTCGGAGGTCAGCTAACATACGGACTTAGACTTTGGATAAATTTGATATTGCAATTATACTGTCGGCAGTTAAAATGTCGGCTAATATTCGGTAATATAGGGTATTTGCAATATTGGCGGATGAGCACGGATCCAGCTCTAACAAAACAAATGAAAAATCTAAGCCACAAAATGAATAAAACCGAGTAGAATCGAAGTAATCAGCGATTCTGGTCGGGCGATGAGGTTCATCACTTACGAGTCGATTAGAATATAGGCTGTAAACTAGAGTAGCCTGATGATATAAGGATACGGATGGGATATAATAACAAGACCAAGCACAACAATTGAGATGTACAGACACGAACGCTCATTAGTGGGTTATTGGAGATGACCGAAGTTGGAACACAAGCATATGGGAATGTAAGAATGAAGAGAAATTTAAGTACTACGTTAACCGTCGGAACCATGTAGTACTCACAGGTGAACAGAACGAGGAGGATGCGCATGGCCGTCAGATGAACAGATCGTCGTTTCGTGGATGCAGTGCGATGGAAACGCAACTTTTCCATCAACCGAGTGAATATTGCCGCAGGGATGTAGTACTGCACCAGGTAGGACACGACTATAGCGATGATAAACAGTGGTTTTATCGGGGCGAACCAACTGATGTATTGGGAAAAACGTGAACGTTAATATATTAGAAGTAGCGTGGAGAAAATCTCAAAGACAATTTTGATATTAAAAGAGAAGAGCAATATACTCCTACACTCTTAACCCGAGGTAACAGTATTCGCACCATAAAACACAGGAATATGGTGCAACTGAAGTAAAAGATGAATTGGGGAGGACATCAATGCCGCATGTACCAAAAGCTATGTTTCACGATCGGTTCCGTCTTCGCCACAAAACTGTATACAAAAATGGATACACAGAGTTGCCAAAAGCCTAACTAGATACTTGCCGTGCATCGATTGGAAGTTGATATATATATATATATATATATATATATATATATATATGATGAAAACAGACCTCAAAGTGGGAACGGTGCATTTTTCATAGCCCCAACCCGGTTCCCCCATAGGTGATGCTACGAAATTCGACGAATACAAGCCTTGAACAGTATTCCTGTTTTTATTACTTCACCATTAGTAACCCATTCATTGCAGAGAAAGTGCTGAAAAAGCTGCAATCGTTCAGTCCACATAGCTTTCCTGTAGCGGAAAACGTTCACCCCAAAGCACTGCAAGCAGCGTTTCAGAAGGCATAATGCTAGGCGCACAGGGTTTATCTTTTGACGTAAAAGCGTCGGAGCAGCATGGTTTTCGTCACCATCGAGGGTGTACCACGAAACTCCGGATTGCACATGACAATTGGACTGAAGCAGTAGACGAGAGTAGAGGAACCGATATCATCCATTTGGGCTTCTCAAAAGCGTTCGATCGCTTGTACTACCGCATTCTGCTGTACATGCTTCAGAAATGTCGTCGGAGATCCGGTATTGGGATGGATCAGTAACTTTCTCTGCAAACGGAAATTGAAGACCTGAGTCCTAACATCATTCTCCGACCCAATTCGAGTGGAGTGCGGAGTATCGCAGGGTTCGGTCCCTGGGTATTGCCTATTCGTAGTCTTCATTAACGATCTAGCGAGATTTACCACCTCAAAGATTTTGCCCTTCATGGACGACGTTAAGATGCAGTAAACGATCAAGGAAATGGATGAACATGAGATCTTTCCAGCGCGACCTCGATGAGGCATGGAATGTATCGATGAGGAACGGGCGTCATTCAAAGTGTACATTTACCGAATTGGCCACATGCATCATCGACCCGCCTACATATACAGGCATGGGGCATGACCTGAAGACCAACTTTCAGGAATGTGAAATCGGTTGCTTCAGGCAGTTTTAGTGCGTTTCAAAAAGAAGCAAGAAGTACATTGGTGTCTTGCGGCACTTAGGAGTTTAGATTCATCCATCTTCTATATGATGCTCAACGCTTACGTGCGTCCCCAAGTTGAATACACTATCCGAGCTCCTTCCAGGGTCGCCTCACCCTGGAACGCCTTTGTAAACCCAGTTGTTCGTACCCTCAGCTTAACCATTAGAAAATCAAATATCGCACTAGTCTCCCTACATTTTATTATATAAACCGAGCTCTGAAGTGTATCCCGGCTAACTAGCTTTTTGCAATTAGAATCCACATTGAGATATGCAAATCAGTGCGAGCGGGTGAGCCATCCGATTGCTCTTTACAATGAACACTAATGAGAACAAAGTAGTTTTCCGTTTTACATAGTGTTTTCTCATTACTACAACCCTGCTTACGACATGCCGACGCCCTGTCGCTCCGCTGATGCACATTTTATTTTAACCGATTGTGTAACTTCCGAAGTTGCAATTCCTTCCATCATCAACCTAGGGGACATGTCAGGCATGTGCTTGTTTACCCGTCACAAACCACTGTTTCATGAACGGCCGTGATTCGCAAACAGATAGTACTGCAAGAGACGCGTGTCAATGAGGGAAAAGGAGTCAGATCACATTCGATCGGTGAAGAAAGGAGAGCGTGTTTCCCCTACGGATGAACAAGTGGATTGGCACGGTGGTAGCGGTAAACACTGACAGTAGCACACACACCAATTGATGCCAATCCACAAAAAGTGGTAGACATGCCGCAGCGTTCTACGTGGCGGTGGAAGTGGGGTCGAGCTTGATGTGTAAAGAATAAAGCGTCAACTGTAGCACAAGTAGACAGCGTTTGTGAATACTATGGACAAAACGATAAATAGCCAGGAGACGGAACAAGACCGTCGGTCTGTTCGTACGACATGAATGCAAGTCCAAAATAACGAAAGTGCTGTGTCGAGAACGATGGAGCGCTGCGGTTGAATCGAAAATATGCAGCACAAATGCATGGACAACACCAGCCGCATAATTCTCGCGGAAATCGGATTAGGGATCGCTAGGGGTGCAAGAAGTGAAAGCGGTGCCGATGAAACCCCAGAACGCTAGATATACTTTGTGCGTGTGTTTCGAAGACAGCACAAAGTAATTCAAATGAAATGAGGGAAGCAAGCGCGTACTATTAGCCAGGTTGATAAAAGCATGAATGTCGGAAGAACAGCTAAAAATCGAAACCTTATGCTTGTCGGGGTAGCTCACTAGGTCAGGCGTGTTACATAGTTATCCAAAGACAGGAGATGAAATTCTGTGAAAGATGATAGGTATCAAACAAGGGAGCAATGGTGATGAAAATTATGAAGCGATTGGGTTTCTCGATTTAACAAAGATAAGTTGGAATTATTATCAGTTGAAAGCTGAGAGTCTAGATCGACTACTGCATTGACAAAACAAAAAAGTAAGTCGAGAGACAAACGAGGCAGGTGCCCGTTTGCCTTCCACACCGACCAGGTTCCAAAAGCCCGACCCTTCTCTATGCGTGAGATCTGATGGATTGGCCGCATACGTATCCGGAATTGCTTGTCACTGCGGCCTCCATTAGACAACAATAAGAAGCCTGTGCTTAATGAGGGACCATGGGTGGCGTGCGCTGCATCACCCCATAACCAGTTTAAACACGAAGGAATATGACCGGGAGGCATGTGGATGGGAGTCAAGTTACATCAGCGGAGCCGGCCCACACTCCCCCAGCATGCATAGCAGCAGCAATCTTGTCTATCTATGTAAGGAATCTTGCGTACCAGACGTGCACAAGGCGGTAACCCTTCCACAATGAGTGAATGGAAGCATTCTTTGCGCCTAGCACCGTCAAGAGGACCGTGCACCCGTCCTCTCAAGCAAAGATTTACAGTCTCCTAGAGCCAGTAATCCAGTAGAGGGTGTTAGATAGGTAGGCACTTGTGAACATTCACATCAAGCGCAGCCACCTCGGGGAGACCAAGCAACAACCAGCACCTGAAACACGCATGCACGCATAGATGCCTAAATGCAGCGATGATGTAGCACACACATCACATCAACCACATTATTGGCCTGGATTAGTACAAGGAATTGAAGGAGACACAGTGTATAACCAAATACTGTGCTGATGACCACAGCAAATTCAATTTACCCATCATCTTATAGATGTTGACCCCCCGTGTCGAAGATAGTGGCTTACTAAACCAGCTTAAATGAAGCACCCGCGACCGCATGTGCCATAGCACAATGCGCTCGACATCGATGGGCTATCCAACATCGACGCGTCGCTCCCTCAATCAACGTTTCTTATCCGCAACCGGCAGTGATTTATCACGCAACTGGGTAATCACTCTCTTGATATGCTCTCACTATCGGCGCCGAGCTACCGCCATCGTTTCCCAAGACCTAAAAGCAACATTAGTTCGTCACAAACTCACCTTGTTCATGCCCTGGTATAGTAATTTTGGTTTGCTAACATGCCGCTTCTCTGCAGTTAGCCATAAAGCAGCTGTTTCGGTATCCGCGTCGAATGCATGCGGTGAACATGCCAGAGCCACCACAGATGCCACAGCAGAAGTATGTAATCAACTGCATACATGCCACTGCGTCGGATCAGCTCCGTGTCTTCGAATTGGTTACCACAACTGATACGCAGAATACAACGCCCGCAATGTTGATGAAACAGCTCCGCATATCTGGCATTCTTCCGGTACTTCGTGCACGTTTCATCGCCGTATAGAAGAATAGACAGTACCATCAACTTCGTCCCAGCAGTGAGCTGGTAGCAGTTCCACACACGCTAATCCAACACAGCAGCCGCCTCGGATACGCGGACACGTACCTCGCTCCTTAGCAGCAGATCTGTAAAGTTCACCACCCATACAGGGAAATCTGGAAGTGGTTTCCAAGACGGCAAAATCGATACGGAATCGTGGAAAAGATACGGATGTCATTTCTGACGTAGGTAGAAAAAGACAAACAAACTTGCTTGTGTTGTTGGTGAGTCCGAGCTTGGCTGTAGTCAAAGTAAGAGCACTAATCATGTGATGCAACTCATCCCCGTTGTGTGCAAACAACGCACAGTCGTCGGCAAACAGCAACATACGGAGGGTTGTCTCACACACTAGGGTTATTGCTCAAAAACGATGGAGGTTCAGCAACCCGTCATCAATACGGGCCCCCACACGGACACCGTAATCACAGGCGGCATCAGAAGCTCAAGACATCATTGCATAAGGGTAAATATTAACAAAGACAGGGGATAAGACACAACACTAAGTCGCAGTGCAATAGGATCTCGGTTGCCATACATCATCATCATTATCATACACGTTAGCTAGAGGTGGGAAACACCTCAGCTACTGTGCCGCAATACGAAGAAAAAGGAGAGAGAAAAACAACTGGTGAAAGCTGGCTGAGCTACCGGTAACGGATGGGCATCGTTCCGGTAAGCTACCAGCCGGCTGCTGTGCACCCAAAAAAAATTATTATGCAAAATTTTATAAGGCTAAGTAATGAGATCGTGGTTGGAGGGGGAGGCTAAGAGGGATGGGGTGGGACAAAGAAACTCACAGCACGAACGCCACTGAGGTCGGCTCCTAGCCATATCAGCAAGTGTGTCCAACCAAACGTGTTCATCGTCTTTCAAACCCCAACCAGGGAGCCGAGACGCTCCAACCGAGGCCAGCTCAGAAGTGAGGGTTTTCATTCCTCTGGACCAAGTTATCGCTTGGCCACC